GAGTGGCTAGTATACCTGTTGAATACAAAGCACGTGGTGTTCGTGTGTAAAAAGGTATAAAAAAATGTTTATTAAAAGCTTAAAACTTTATTTTAAAGAAGAAAATTTTTTCGGAATTTAAATCATTCCATCATCAGTTTAATAAAAAGTTGTTAAAAACATTGTTTGGCCACAGCAAAAACACTAGAAGGACATCAGTAATAAAAAATTCTCGTGGAATTTACAAAGGTTAAATGCAATAGACCATTAAATTCAGTAATTAATAAAAAACTACAACTGGGGGCATTTAACATGTCTCTGTTTGGACTTCAAATTACACGCCAACTAGTGAAAAATTGGCACATTGTAAATGTCAGAATAAATTGTTCCTTTCAAGTTGACAAACACGTTTTTTCATTCTGTCAAAGTTTTAATTAGTTTATTCAAGTTTATTTCAACAAGAAGTTCATAACCAGCGCAAAATATACAGTCCAACCTTTATGGTTTCTTCTAATCCCTTCAGTCCCCCAGGAGCTGGTGAAATTTTGTTGACTTACATTACCTCTAGTTAGCCCTAGACTCCAAAACAGTTCAGAGGTAATGTAAGTCAACACATTTAGTGGAATATCAACAATTGCAAAAATCTTCTTTTCAATGATAAAACCAGAATCCTATTATGGAAGCCAGATGGTTGAAACTACGTCTACAGAAGTCACCACCTGCAATCTCACCCATACCATTAGTTTTGGGGTGGTTACATAATGTTTTGGGAAGGTATTAGTTGGGAGCTACGTACCACACTTGTGGAAGTGATTGGTCGTCGGATGACTGGTGACTCTTCCTGCAAGATCATGTTTTGCCATATGTCGGTTACATTGGATATGACAGATTCATGTTAATGCACGATAATGCTCGACCACATGCCGCTGACATAGTGAGTAATTATCTTGATGAGGTCCAAATTTAAAGATTGTATTGGCCACAGTTTAGCCCTGATTTAAATCCAATAGAGCACATTTGGGATCAGCTAAAAAAGACAAAAAAAAAAATCCCGTTCCAAATACGATAGAGCAGATTTGGCTTGCTGCAGAGGATGAACGGAATGCAATTTTCCATGAATGTGTAGATGAGAAAGATGCAAGCAGTAATAAGAGCTAGAGGGGGAAATATTCGTACCTGATCATGCACATCTTCAAGTTAAAATGACTTGTTTAAGCAATTTAAATTAGCATTTAAGTATAGAGTAAAATAATCTTATTTACCTAATATTAAGCATTATTTTCTCCGCATTAAAACTTAAAATTGTCCACTAAAATATTGTTAAAATAAACTCTTCTTCACAATAAACGACTTGTTTGACAAGAATTTATTATGAAAAAAAAAAAAATTGGAAAATTCCAAAATGTCCGATATTTTTGTTCATAATAAGTCACAACTTTCCATGCGATTTGAGTTAAAAATGACTGAATTTTAGTTATTTAATTTAATTATTTAAGTTAGTTGAGAGTTTTTAAAATTACATTCAGAAACCCAGATTTTCAGTCGAGAGGTTTTGGAATTTAGGTAGAGTTTTATGGGATTCCATTTGTTTAGAGAAGGACAAAAACTTTCTATCACCTTCTAGGTTTTACTTAATTTATTGTTGCATAAATAACTGTCTAATAATTTCTATTTAAATACGACCCAACTGTTTGTACGCCCTTCTGTTTTTTTATGCCCTTAACTATCTAATAAAAAGTCTTTGTTTCATTATACTAGAGCTTGAAGACTGAATAATACCCTCACATTTTAAATTCCAAACAGCCACTTTGTGTGACGTCACGATTTTAGTGTTCATTTATATTTCACTACCAGGGCAGTTTAATATCGCTAACCTATAAATATCAATTCACTAATATAGTTTAGTGCTTTGTCTACATGTGCATACTTATATATCAATTACAGAAGCGTTATTTTTTATAATAAACAAGTATTAAGATTAATATCGTTACTACATTATCTTCATACATATCACAATATTCCGTATTAGAAAACAAATCAAAAAATGACTAGAAGAAAATCGGTAAACTGTTCAAAATATATAAATATTTTTACAACCAATAAATTAATGTGTACATAAATATATACAAATTGTCTATATGTAAAAAATATACTCGATGTACTTGTCATATTTGCAACATAAAAGTTTTTAAATAAACGTTATGATGAAAACCTAAGATGTATGTTCCGAAAGATGTCCGCGGTTAGTAGTATAAACCAAGAATTATCCGAGAAGCCATAGAAATTGAAAAAAGGCCAAATTGTCTCAATAAAAGAGATGATGGCATACGGTTACCCTGACTTGGAGACCTCTTATAAAGAAAATACCTACCTATCTTAGTCGGTCAGATAGCCAAGCGGGATAGGCGGTTGGTTCTCATTCGTTTCACTGCGAATGGTCCAGTGGATGTGGGTTCGTGCCCCAGCTCCGTGTACAGAAAAACAAAAAGTCTAACGCAGCAGTTTAAAATTCTAGATGAATCTGCGGCTTAGACTAGAATACGCTGGGTATCTGATCGGCATATGGTGGAGCAGTACGGCAAGAGATAAGGGCTTGCGGCTTGGTGATACTCCTCCATAGATCCCTACCGGAAGGACGTGCCATATATATATATATATATATATATATATATATATATATATATATATATATATATATATATACATATACGTATTGAAGATAAAAGACTATCTAAGGTATATTTTAATTAGTAGATGAGTACAAGCAATATCAATCATAATGGCCTTTAGACTAGCCACGTTGAAGTATTAATTAAAGATATTTGCAGAAGATCGTGTTGGTTCTGGATTATTAGATTTTAAAAGATATTAGAATATCTTGTATCACTTATTTATTTTACTAACGAAATATGTAGCTTTTATTCCCTGTATCATGTTTAGAAACTCTTTCTTTCTGGATTTATGTCAAAATGATAATTTTGAGCAATTTAGCATGCTGTAATGGATTTTCTTGAAACTCTTTGTGATTAAAAACAGATTATCTTAAATAATAATGGGAATAAGTCGTTTTAATAAATGTATTTTACAATGGATTCTTAGGACAGTTTGACAAATCAATATAATTTTATTTCGTCATTTTGTTTTAATATCTACTGAAAGGGATTTCCTTTTTTAAAGGTGTATGTGTGTGCGCATGTTCGTGTGTGTTCATTCCAGCATTGTCTGCTACATTAGTACTAGGTGATTATTATCGTTAATCTCACATTATCCAGTTTTCTCTAGTACCTTTGTATCTAAATCGGTTTGTACACCTAATTATTATATTATGGACAAGGGAGTTTATCGTTGCGCTACTGAAACTTCTTTTATAACCTGATAACAGTTCCTTTTTATGATAAATATGATTAGGTGTGATGCAAATCATTTTGGACACACTTTATCTTTACACGAGTCAGCTCGATTGTGTTAGACATTGAGGTTAAGTTATTTTAAGTTTGTTTCATAGACATATAATATAAATAGACTGAGCGTTGCAATATAGCGTCATTCCACCAGTGCGACTGAGAAAACTGACGTACAGCCATCGAGCAATAAGACAAAAGAGGGAATCTAATCCTTATGAAAAGGAGACCAAAAAAGTGGCCTCTGATGGCGGACATATCCGGAAATGCGAATGCGCCAAATTTAAATTTTCCGACACTTATCAACAGTAGCTATATAATATTTCGCAGAATGTGTCTTAGACGAGAAAGTTTTAATTAATTATTAATGATAAGAGTCTAAAATGCGACACAATTGTTAAAAAACTTCAATATAAATAAGATTTCATGTGACATTTGGGACAAACAATAACATAACCCAACTAAATTTGATGTCAAACAAGGAGAGAGACTCTTAATGTGGCCTCTAAAGATCGCACTTCCTGTCTAACAATATGTTTGCCACTACCTTTACATTCCCTCTATTGTCTTTTTGCTCGATGCGTACAGCAGTCCCTGGCCCTCTTTCTAATGGGCCGGATTTTTTGAGAACGTGACCTAAATGACCAATGGGAAGGTCACGTGATCCTGCATCACTTTCTAATGTGCCGGGTTTATGAGCCCCCACTTCACTTGTATTTGGCTCGGGAAAGGTCACGTAGGAAATAAACCTCGCCCATTAGAAAGATATGCAGTTACTGCTTTTCGTCAGTTTTCTCTGTCACACGGGGGAACTAAGGAATTAAGTCCAATAATTTGTAACTGGGCACAAAAAGGTGACCATATAATATATTCAGTTCTCACATAAATATTATTATGAGGTATTTAACTGAAAAAAATTAAACTACTGGTTTGATTTGAAAAAATTGTACACATTTTATTACCAACATAATGTACTACAAATTCTAAAAAAATATTCAAAATGGCACCATTTGCCTGATTACAGCCCCGAAATCTGTTTGTTAGGTCATTCATTGATCGGTTTACGGATGACCTAATTAGAAAAATTATGTCCCACAGATAAACCAAAATACGCCTAATTCCAAAATACAGCTCTTTCTATTTCTCACGTATGAAGAGCAATAGCAGCAATACGATTCTCTTTGTCTATCCACTACATCGTAATGGCTCAAACTAGACAGGCATGTTTTGGCGCGTCTATAATCTACATGTCAACTGTCAGTAATGTCGATAATTTTGGCTGCGTTCAGTTTCTCAGGCGTACAAACTGCATTTACACTTGTATCAATATTTACAGCAGGACTATATAATTTATTTTAAATCACGTATTTAGAATATGTATGTATATGAAATAAAAGTAATTTATTAATTGCGGTAGGGTCTTGTAACAGTGATGAAAATTCTTTTTTCCCATGTATCAAAGAATTGTTAAGTAGAAAACTTTAACTGACAAGTTACATATTCTTGTAAGTCTTTTTTGATATTTTCTCTCTTTTTGACTGATAACAATCCCACAAATCACAAAACACAACGTCTTTTTGAGTAAGATTTGGGCAAATAAAAAGAATTCAACTTTATTTTAGTTCACCAACCTAGTGAATCCTTTAATAATATACTTTCTGGTACAGTAAAATTGTTACCGAAATTACTTATGTATGTTGCAAATATCACAGCGCCATAATAACTATTCGAAAAAAAAAAAAAAATTGATGTATACTTAACATTAAACGGATTGGTTAATATTTTGATTTACAAAAACTGAAGTAAAACAGTATTAGAATTCGACGGCCACAATCCAATAAGGGAGGTATACACGTCTACACATTTCTTACTTAATGGGTCCGTTTCTGGGATAGTGCTGAGCGGGAAACTGTCTCCCTAATGTACAAAATAAATCAATTAATATACATAATATATATAAAAGTTAGTATAAGAGTTAGTTAGTGTTAATATCTTCGTACAAATACCTTGGAGCATGGATCACAGAAGATACCGATCAGACAAAAGAAATAAGATGCCGCATTGAAATTGCACGGCAACTTTTAATAGAAGAATGAGAAAACTTTTTTCTAATCGCGATATCAATATATCGCTCCGGATAAGAATGCTTCGATGTTATATTTTCTCTACCCTTTTGTATGGCGTTGAAGCTTGGACACTTAAAAAATCCAACATTAAAAACCTAGAAGCATTCGAAATGTGGTGTTACCGACGTATTTTGAAAATATCATGGATGGATCGCAAAACAAACGAACAAGTTCTCGAACAACTAGGAAAACAACGCGAAGTTTTAAATTCCATAAAAATCAGGAAATTGGAATAGTTGGGGCACATCATGAGAGGTGAAAAATACGAACTACTAAGAAATATAATGCAGGGTAAAATCAAAGGCAGAAGAAGCGTAGGAAGACGTAAAAACTCGTGGCTACGCAATCTCCGTGAATGGTTTGGATGCAGTTCAATTGAACTATTCAGGCGCGTAACCAACAAAATTATAATTGCCAGAATGATTTCCAATCTCCGGTAGGAGTGGAACTTGAAGAAGAATATGACACACACACACACTCACAAGCACAAAACACACATACTGTGTTCTCCTATTCTTCACTTACGAGATATAAAATCGTTGTGCCCAGATATGCATAGACATGACGAAAGTCTTGGCTAAATGATGGCCCACAGAGCTAGCTAACTTTGAGGGATTAAAGCTTTGACACAGTATCAGTGATGAATTTTCTGACAACATTCCGTCCCAACTGGTGAAAATAAATAGGAAGAAAAAAAGAAAAATATATAATCCAGAAAGGAACAAAAAAATTGGATACTCATAAATAAAAATTAAAGGAAATAAACAGAAATAGGTCTCTATAGGAGACGGCTTCCAAAGAGAAAAAATAGGAAAAATATACATTATTGATAGATTAAAAATAATTCAGACTTCTCTGTATCTTCTGATTATGTATAATATAAAAAATAACTCATAAAATCTTACCGTTTCATTGTTATAGTGCCAAAGGTTCTCAAGAGTAGATATGAATTTTTCCAGTTCTATATTTGTCGAAAAATATAGAATCCAATCTCCGCTATATTCGTGAACCTCTCTACAAGCAAATTCCTAAAAAATACAGCTATATCAATTTTCACTAAAGCTAGTTCTGTCAAACGATTTCTTTGTGAGAACAGTAATTTGTCTTTCCCATCAGGAAGCAATCCTTTATCAACATATAAATTAGGATCTGATCTGATCTTACGAACATTCTCAAAGCAACTAAAAAAGTAAAGGATATGCTACTTACCAATATACACCAACTCTGCTCAGCAGACGGCAATCGAAAAGCTGTTAAATCTACGATAGAGGCACACGACAAGGCTTGAGTTCCTTTGATAGGTTCATGGTGACTTCGCGAAGTCAGCAAACTGTTCAAAATATTGGGAAACGCTTCTCTTACAGTTAAAATGTGCTCGCTAGTCATCAATAAAGAACACGACTGTGTCGGGTTCCTTTCTTTGTGATGATTATATACCTAAAAATGAATTTATAAGATTAGTTTTCAGTAAAATGTGGAGTAGAGGCTAAGCTAGAAGCGGCACTGTCTACGATGTCCGAATTCGATGACAAGAACTTCCTAAAAGCTAACCCACTTAAAATTAAAATTTGCAACTGTCTACTTAGAACACCTAGATATAACCAACATTGCAAAAAACAAGGAAAAGTAGCCTCCAGGAAAAGCCTCTTTACAAAACTCGCAGGGAGTCGATGGACTCAGTCTGTATATGCAAGACAGGTAGATAACTCTGTACCATTCACGAAGAAGTAGATACGTCAAATTTTCGTAAAAACAAGATATCTCAATCTTGAAATAGTTCTCTTTCAATTCCGTCAGGTGAATAAATAAGTAATTCAAATTTACAAGAGCTTATTAGGTACGAGCCCGTGAATATTTGGATTTGGATATATTTGGATCAGAACCGGTATATCGTCCAAAAATGTCGAATAGTGTTAATCAAATTATTCAAAATGCCTTGGAAATGATTATACAAGACAATGTTTCCGAAACTCCTAGAGACATTAGTGAAAGACAAAGTTTAATACAAGTTGAAGAAATAAACAATCAAAACAGTATGAATGTGGTATCCAAAAGTGTTCTTATGGATCTTATTGAACCAGGTAAGTGTTTTCTGTAATTCCTTTTATTTTAAATAGCCATTTTCAGAGATAAATAATAAAAAAGATATTTGCGCCGAGGGTCGCAAGCATTTTGAGACATGTCTTGTAGACGTAGAGTGTATTAACACTAATCCCGATCAGTCGACAAGTACGTTTAAGTCAACTGATCGTGACCTTAACCAGATTAGTTATGATTTCAATTCAGATGACAGCATCGCTGATCCAGATTTCTTTGCAAGCATAGGATCATCTCCCGAGGAAAGTGATGATGTCGCAGGTAAGATCAGTAATACTTTAAACTCGTTTTATCTCAAAATATGCTTTTTTGTAGTTACTCAAAGGAAAAAAAGGTGCACAGAAAATAACAATAGTATCAAAGATGCAAACTTGAACCACTCTCCAATAAAAATGAAACTGTATTCGTTCTGAAAACAGGAAGAGATTCGTACAAGACAAATGAATAAGACCAAGACCATGTTTCAGTGGAAATAAGCCAAACAACAGAAAAAAGAAGAAACAAGGAAGGACACGAAAGCAGAGACAAGAAAGTAACAAACATACGAGGCCATTAAAAGCATGTCGTATGAAATGTAATGGAAGGTTTTCAGATGAAGACCGGAGTAAATGTTTTCAAAATTATTGGGAAGACAGAATAAAAGGGCCAACTATATTACTTCTCCAAATGACATAAATCCAAAGAAAACAGAAAAGCTAGGACAAAAAAAAAACATAAAGAAGGTTTATGTAAATAAAGCATCATTCATAGTCTTCAGGCAATCTTCAAAACACCGAAGATCACATTTTGTTATTTCCTAAATATGAAAGCCACTATTGCAGAAATGTACAAAAAAACAGTAGACAAACCCGTCTCATTAACACAAGTTATACAAGAATTGCTTCTACAGTTTGAACCTTGCATTTAAAAAACCAAAACAGGATATTTATTCTACATGTGATATTTTCAAAACAAAATTAAAAGTTCTTACGGAGGGAGGGGAGATAGAGAATTTGAGATAAGAGAGGGATAAACACCATCAGCTTGCAGACGATGCCTACAAGGCGAATAAGGTGGATAAGGAGGTTGCGCCTTCAGACACTAAAAAAGAGCATACACTTTTGATCTTCAACAATGCCTTCCAATCCCCTTTTTAACAGCGAACACTGTCTTCTATAAGCGTCAACTGTGGACGTTTAACCTTACCGTTCGCGATTTAACAACAAATGTAAATACATGTTTCATATGGAAGAATCAATTGCTGGAAGAGGTGGCAATAAGATAGTTTCTTGTATTTACCGCCTTGTATTGGAACTTCATGATGTGGAAGAGGTAGATACTTGCGGAGGCCAAAATAAGAGCCAACAAGCCACTTTAATGTTCACATTCGCTTTCACAAAACTCCGAAAATCTCAAAATTATAAATCACAAGTTTTTAGTCAGTGGAGATACTCACATGGAGTGTGATACGGATCATGCTTTTATTGAAAAAAAAAGAAGATAACACACATGAAGATTAATCACCTTAATGATTGGTATCAGACGATAAGATCCATCATTATGAGAATTTATAGCCTTACAGACACAATTTTACTCGGAGGTAATTTCACTAGCTCTTGATCTAAAACGAGACAATTAAATTATGATTTTGTACCTGCGTAACACCTGTATTTTAATACTTTGTACTTAACTCCCTCTCATACAATTGGATAACAGGTGTCACGAATTGTCACTGAAATATTTAGATTAGTAGATTTTCTTCTTCAGAAATTAATAGACTTTTATTAAATATACAGAAGTTTAAACAATAAACTAGACCATATAACCTACTTTTACCCATTTTGTAAATAACTCTATATACTAATAATTCTCAACTTACCCCACTAGCTGCATGCACCAGCTCCTGTAACCATTCGCTAGCAACATATTCATTGGGGGCGGCGAGAAGCAAACTTTTCCCTTCTACGATGACCTGGAACGTATGGGGCCTAGCACTGTTGATAACCCTTCTAGCACCGTGACAAGAACCGTTGATAAGTGGAAATACTCTCATAGGTACCCTCTGGGACGGCGAGGACAACATGTATAAAACTCCAGCTCTAAAACATATTTGTCATGTAGAAAAAAAAACAGATATAATATAAACGCGGAACTAAATATCCGAGAACTGTTCTATAAATTCTTGATGATTCTTAAGTGAGAAAGCCAGAAAAGGTAACAGCATTGACTTTCAAAACACAATCACTTGACTTCAATACATGGTATTCATTTGTGTAACTGCGGGAAAATGTTTTCATAAGTCATTGCTCTTCATAAGTGTGGAATAGAAAGAGCTCGTATTTTTTAATTACTAAAACCGTTAAATATTACGCATGTTTTTCTGTATTGTACTGTTTAATTGTTTTTGGATATGGGAGCAGTGAGTAACCACAGAAAATCCAGCACAAAAACCCTGCCCGAAAACAGAAAATTATTCTCAGGAAATGTGGTAGAATTAAACGGACATTTATCCAACAAATTAGGATGGCCATCTTGCTACCATTTAGAGCGTACTAAGTCATGTAATTACTTCCAACTTGAAGGACCAGGTCCTTCACAAACGATATAGGTCATCCAAGAAAGTCCGCGAGCTGGTGCCAGGGATGAAATGAGAACATTTTCTTGCCTCAGTGATGGTTTGGAGACAGCGTTCTATGACAGCGTCACTTCTTTACATTTTTGTGAAAAGGGCGTTAAACCAGCAGCGAGAAATTATCAGCGGGATATTTGAACAAATGTAGTGGAGCTTCTTAACCACACATGTTCCAAAATAGACCATGGATATCCCAACAAGACTCTGCACCTGCGCATAAGGTGAAAATCAGTGGCTTGAAAATCATATACCCAAATTTATTAGTAGTGAACATTAGGCGTCAGCCAGCCCAGACCTTAATCTACTCTACTACTAATTTTGGTTATTTTTAGAGGGAATGGATTGTACAAGACGTCACCATAATCAAGAGTCATTGAAACAGGCTCTGGAAGAAGTTGTGGTCAGTGTGTCTATGGATGTCGTTTGTATAGAGATCGAAGAATGGGCTAACAGAATTCGGCGCTGTATTCAGACAAATAGCGGCCATTTTGAATAATTTTTTTGTAGTTAATAGTGAATTATGTTGGTAATAAATTGTGCAAACATTTTTGAAATCACCTCTTTAAATTTTTTGAGTTAAATTTATGGCAAGACTGGGTATAATCCGATTATTTTGACCACAGAATAATAAACAAACAGAATGCCCACTCTCCACGGAAAATTAAGTACGCGCATCTCCTTCGCGCAGACGTTCCGCCATGTTTTACGAGGATTTTAAAGGGAACCAGTGTTAAAAAATGAAATCGTAGGCTTCCACGGCCAGAGTCAGAATTATAGTTATTCGTCTTCCGGGTTTGGTATTGTCACTCACAAATGACACGGTCCAAACCCGGAAAACGAATAAACTGGAACCAGTGTTGTTTATGTGGTGTGCATGGAAAAAAAAACAGGTTTATTTGACTTACGGCAATCATAGACATACTACACAATTATATTAACAGTTTTAAATATAATAACATAAATATAATATAATTAAACATAAATGTAAACAATTGCATAATCTCACAAATCATATGTTGTCCTCCTAAAACATGGCGCGCGTGCTGAAAAACTTCAAAGGCGGCATCTGAGAGTGGCCCTTCTGATTGTTTATTATTCTGTGATTTTGACTATTCGGAATTAGTCTGTAAAATAGTTTTTTAAGATGCAACTATACAACTAAATAAAAGTTGTAAATAAATAGTGTAAATAAAGTAAATAAAATAAACTGTGGGTTTTAAATAAACGTAACAGTATATATAATTAAGAATGAAAAAACTCTATTATATAAAGTCAAAAATAAATCAGTAAAAAATCAGAATTAGACTTACTTTAAAATGAAATAAGCAGTTTCCCATCGGGATGATTCTGATTCGGGAGTTTTAAACATTAACGGACCTTCTTTATTAGGTCCTAAAGGTGTGGGATCTAATTCGGTCGTACAGTCTTGGACATTAACAATACTGTAGTAGTAATACTCTTCGTCCTAAAAATTATTTTTTAACCGCTTTATTTTTATTTTCAACTTTTCATTCAAATTTTTTGTACTAATACACATAGAATTTAGTGTTTTTGAAACTATAGAAAACTTAGAAAATTTGGCTATTTCACCACTCTTTTAGTCAATTATTTTTGAAAAAATCTTTGTGACGCTTTTCCCGAACGTGGCTTTGTCATAAATTATGTGAATTTTAGTGAAAGGTATGTATGATGGTATAACAACTATGGTCTGTTTTTTAACCAAGAGGAGTAATTCAAATTTTCCGCGCCGTAATTCTTGTTTGTAATTGCTCCAACCGCAGGCAAGTTTACTCCACTAAATTATGACATATTGACACTAATGACATTTGTGAAATTTTAAAATTCAAAATTTATATCGACGATCTTTTGTATTTTCTGCGTTATTTCTTACATTCATAGATTTTTCGTTTGCATTTATATAAAGAACAGTTCTTTTCAGAACTATTTAGTGTTATTAAGATAACAATATGGATTAAATGCCAAGTACTAGTGGTAATTATTCTTCTCCACCTTAAAAACGCCGAGTAGATTTGGGTCATTTATCAACAAATAAGAAACAATGTTTTATAAACATGTATAAAAAAATGACAATTGATAATTCTGGATTGAAAATAACAGCCACGGTAGCAAAAGTAAAACAGGCAGCAGGTTATTTTTGCAGAATAGTTATTATTAAAATCAAAACTTACTAAAGTAATGTGTTAATTTTAGGTGTTGCGAATTCAACTATTAACCAAACAATTAAAGAATATAAGCAGACTGGTGATATGCGAATATTATTTAATGTGATATTTTTCTAGATGATATTTATACTAAATATTGTTTAAAAGTATTGTTAAGAAGCATTTTCATTTGTTTTCATCACAATAAAAAACATTAGTAAAGTAATATTGTGTTTTAGTTTGATTGCATTGATGCAGTTGGTTTTGTTCTTCCTGGTTGTAGATAATCACAAGACAACTGCACAATTATGCTTGAATGTAACATAATAAATTGAATTTGTTAATTTTAGTCAATTTTATTTATTGATAACAAATGTTACAAACTTAAGAATACAGCATTAAAAAAATTGGAAGTACACACTTATTTATACAAAGTATCTTTTTGCATTATAGTGCTTCAAATAGAACCTAAAGATATTGATACATAAGTTAAACAAATCTATCTAATGAGGTAACTGATTACCAAAATACCACACCTATATTTGAACCATAATTTATTCTGTGATGGGAAATATGAAAAAGTGAATTTTAAAGCAGTGAACGGGAAGGAGTATGTAAAACAAATTGCCTGAAGCAATTCAGGAGATTGGATTATTAAGCTTAAAAATAACGATCAAAGTCAAAGTTCTTCTGGTAAGAAAAAAAAAACTATATTCAAGAAATTAATCACATCAGAATAAAAATATGGTCTACGCAGTTTAAAAGAATAGTATTTCAGAAATCTTTTAACTGTCTCTAACTTTTTGATACATGCATTTGCATAGCTTTGTTGCATACTTATTACATCTATTTGCAAATTAAAAGACAAATTTATGTGAAAAACCAAACTTAGATGAATGTGAAAAATGTGAAAAACGTCCTTTTTTATTGTAGTAATTGTAATATCTACTGGAAGTGAATTAAAAAAAATTATAATTCAAACATAAATTAACAAAGTTAGGTTAGAATTGACGTAGAAGGTTGTCCGATATTGATTACTCGATTACCGCAAGGCCGAGATAATCAACAAAGAAGATGTATTTGGTGACTTTTCTAGTAACTTTCATGGATGTGAATCTGTCTTTTCGGTTTACTCCTCCTGGTTAAAAAACAGAGTATAGTAAAAGGTGTGTTTTTAAAGTAATAGAAATGTAAGTTGGCAACACTTTTTTAACTGAAGGACATTTTGACAGGTGTCAAATGATTTATATTTAGTTTGGTTTGGCATTTTAACATGAATAGACACGCCTGAACACTTCCAAATTGTGCAAATTTATTTTGAAAATCATGGTTCTGTTCAAAATACGTATCGCGCAGTACGATTGTAAAAAAGAGTCAGCTTCCCATATTATTGTTCCTATGTATGTTTAGACATAAAGATGTAACATTTTTTGTAACTTACCTTATGCACTGACGTCTGTTTGCATATAGCCCTCCTTAAATTAACCATATCTCTCATAGCCAGCTGCCGAACAGCCGGTAACTTGGGCTTATTGGCATCCTTCCTCATCGCGATTTCCAGCTGTCCTACCAACTCTCCTGTCAAACTAGAACACCCGGTACAAATGATGCATTGCATTTCTCGGTCGTAATTAGAAAAGTGGATTGTCTGACCTTGGGGTCCGATTAGGATGGTGTTTAGATCAGTGTAGGGAAGGACGAAATGGTTCGTGTATGAGCCGGTCGGTTTGGCGTTAGCGATGTATAAGGTGTTTTCTGTTAAGATTGCTAATAATGGTTTGGATTCTCCGTTTGTTGTGTAAGCGCTTCGGACACAAAATACCTGAAAAAATCATTGTATAAGTTGAAGAATAAAATTATTAAAAATATGTGCTTACCCTAAGCAATTTTTCAAATTTATTTCTAAAAATCTCCTTTCTTAACTGCAAAACCATTTTCTTATCCAAATTATCTGAAGAATAGGTTAACTTTTTCCTACCAACCCCAATCTCTTTTTCCAATTCCCTATCAATGTCGTCACTTGCGGGCACTTGTTTGACTCCTTTTATAAACAAATTAACGACCCTTCTAGTACATTTCTGTCTACTTTGAATCTTAGCATCCAACATTTTCTTCAAAGTTACGTTTTTTAGGAATCGGTTGATCAGAGACGTTTTTGAAGTGGAAGGGCGAAGGGAAGGTAAAGATTTAGCCATATCTGTGTCATCAAGTCTTTCCTGAATGGTAGGTTTGAATGAGTTGCTGATTGAGTAGTGATTGGACTTGCTGATTTTTCTCTTTGGCGAGCTAAGATGTCTTGGGTGCGGTGGCTCCACAAAGTCCGATATCGTGTCGTTATCAGACCAATCCATCTTCGAAAACTTGTTTAATCCGTTACTACTACTACTACTGCTTGCTTTTGTTTCGAATACTACAACTTCTTCGACTTGCTCGACCTCTGCCTCATCGGGATTACTTTTAACAGGAGTTGAAGCATTATTACTGATTATCTCAAAATCTTCTTCAGGCTCGTTTTGGAGTTCTTCTCTGGCTCTTCTTCTGAAGAAATTGAATTCCTTAAGAATCATTTGATACACCGTTGAACTTTTTGGTTTCTGTTGCTGTTCGAAGGTTTTTTGGAACTTGTCATATTCATATGAATAACTGATCCCTGTAACCAATACAAACTATAAATTTGATGCATTAACAAACAAGAAAATATATTTGTTCCATGAAACATAAAAACGAAAGTATATTTTTTTAAGATATCGAAAAATTGAGGTGTATTCGAGTTAAAATCATTTCGAATAGGCGGCGATGACTGGTTCATGAGGAATTGTAATGTTGGTACTAGTGTATGAAGACATCTGAGGCAGGTGTAATATTAGAACTTCTTTAATTTATTCTTTTGGAGACGTATTTAAAACGTTGTTGAAAGCATACGTTTATAGGTAATAACGACATTACTCGATTCACTTTAAATGCAAAATAACAAATAAATAACAACTGGGCCACGGTTTTAGACAAATATTTCTGCTGCGTTATCAGGTTGCAATTAGGTAAGATCTTGTTACCGTGAAATGTGTCGTAAGTGGGTTAATAAATAATTTACAGAAACAATTATTTTATAACAAGCAAATTATTTAAAATTCCTTGTTCTCGATAAGGGAGAGGCACGTGTCTACTTCACAGAATGTATATATAATGAAGAGCCGTAAGCTGGGGTACTAGAGTACTTGGGACATATAATGAGAAATCAAGGCAGATACGAGCTACTACAATGCATTTTGCAGGGTAAAATTGAAGGAAAAAGATCCACAGTACGAAGAAGAATATCTTGGCTTGCTAACCCGAGAGCATGGTATAGACAGACCTCGACACAGCTATTTCGTATAGCAACCAATAAAATCATCATAGCCAGAATGATCGCCAACGTTCGGAAAGGACAGGCACCCTAAGAAGAATACACAATGAAATGGTACTCAACAATGTATTTCAAAACTCCACCTGGAATGACTGTTGGGTGGATCGAGTAGCTTAACAGTATTTCTTACCGGTCCCAAACCCGGATAAAGGAGGAGGGTTAAGCGGAAGGCCAACAACCTGCCCTTATAAAAAAGAGTCTGTTATGAAAACCGGACGGGAGCATCTATACATGCAATAAAACAATTAGAAAAAGTAGGAATGGACATTACGTCAATACAAGAAATAAGGTGACTAGACACGGGAAACATAAAAATAGACAAGGCGGTCATTTTCTACAGTGAAAACCAGACAGGAAAACACGAATTTGGTACAGGTTTCGTAGTACGAGAAGAATACCTGGACAGTATTATAAGTTTCACGCCCATTAATGAAAGACTTTGTTCTTTGGAATATTAAAGATTACTTCTATGAACAACTCGAAAAAACGCTTGAGAAAATCCCCAAACAAGACATGCAGATAATCTGTGGAGCCTTCAACGCAAAAATTGGCACCTAAGCCCGACAATAGGACAACACAGCCTGCACGATATCTCAAACGGCAATGGACAAAGGCTCGTAGAGCTAGCATCGGCTAACAATATGGTTGTAAACTCTACTACGTCCCAACATAAAAACATTCATAAACCGACTTGGGTCTCTAATGACCACTCCACGCGAAACCAAATTGACCACGTAATTATCAATGCTAGACATGGAAGTAATGTGCTGTATGTAAGAAGCCTCAGGGAAGTAGATGGAGATACGGACCATCACCTAGTAAGAGCAAAAATCAGGTTAAGAATATCTTCACAGAAACCTAAGGCCAATGAAGCATTGGGACAATGGAATATCGAAACAAATAAAAATGAGAAAATCCGAGAAAATTACAAACAAGAAATTAAACAGCATCTAAATACAGTAGACCAGAGCAATGATCAGGAAAGGCTGTAGAAACAAATGGAAAAATCAATTACGGAGTCAGCAGAACTCATTAATAGGAAAAAGCAGGAAGAAAACAATGAAATGGTTTGATAAAGAATGTCAAGAAAAACTACACGACAGACAGATAAAGCGAAACATTATGCTCCAACAAGGAACAGCAGAAAGTAAAGAAAACTAAGCAACTTCACGCCGAGAAACAAGAAAATTAATTAGAGAGAGAAAAAAGGAAGTATAAACAACAGAAATATAAAGAAATAGTACATAGATAAATACACAAACTAATAACACTTATATGGAACGAAGAGAAAATACCAACAAAATGGCATGCAAGTGTAATAATCTCCATTCATAAAAAGGGAGACAAAACCAAGTGCTCTAATTATAGAGGCATCTCCTTACTTAATACGGCATATAAAATCTTATCGAACATCCTATTAAGTAGGCATGACACCGTTTGTAGAAAATATCATGGGGGTATACCAAGTCTACTCTAAGACAGCTGCTTGAAAAAGGATGGGAATTCAATAGAACTATCCATAATCTCTTCATAGATTTCCGGCAAGCCTACGACAGCATTAAAAGGGATCAGATGTGGAATGTAATGGCAGAACTTTCAGTTCCAAAAAAACTTATCCAGCTTGTTAAGCTATGTGTGAATAGCTGTAGATCCAGACTACCGATAGGTAACAAACTCTCAGAATCTTTCTAATTAAGCAGTGGCCTGAAACAAGGAGATGCGCTGTCACCTCTCCTTTTTAATATCATCCTGGAGAAAGTAGTAAGAGCAGCACAACTTAAAACACAATTAGTGACAGTAAATACCAAATATACTAAAGCATACGCAGAGTGTATTCACCAACGACAAGCCACACAGATGGAGAGCTTGAAATGTTCTTTGAAGATATTAGAACAGCCCTGAAAAGTACTAAGACGTTTTATACTCTGATAACAGGAGATTTTAATGCTAAGCTGGGAAATAAAGAAGGCCAAAGTGAAACCGCACTAGGAAACTACGGCTATGGAGAAAGAAATGAAAGAGGGACCATGCTTGTAGATTTTTTACTCCAACAAAATCTTTTTTCTATGAACTCATTCTTTCAAAAAAAGCCCCAACGAAAGTGGACGTGGAAAAGTCCAGACGGTTTCACAAAGAACGAAATAGACTGTATCATTGCTAATAAAAAAGAAATTGTACAAGATGTATCTGTTTTAAACAGATTTACAATTGGAAGCGATCACAGATTAATTTGAGCAAAAATTCTGTTCAATTTAAAGAATGAATGAACAAAAATGATAAAATCAGACAATCGTAAATGGACCCCGCCCGAAAATACAGACCACTTTCGTGACATCATTGACCATAACCTTCAACAAATCAACGACGAAACACAGGACGAAGTTTTAAACGTATCGTAAAAGCCCTTAAAGAAGCGGAGAAGTTGTGCTGTCCTAAAATGAAGAAAAAACATGAGAGAATAAGTCTCAACACTAAAAATCTTATCGAAGAAAGAAGGAGGCTAAAGGACAGGTATAACACAAACTACGCAGAATTTAGTCAACTCAGTAAAACAATAAACAAAGAAAAACCGAAAATACATACGGCAACATAACATGAGAGAGGTGACAAAGGTGATAGAGAAAAATAGAAGTCTGAAAGTTCTAAGACACAACTTGTCCACAGGAAAAAAGAACATACATAAGTTAATAAATAAACAAGACGACATTGTGACTGATAAGAAGAAATAGTGAAAACAGTGGAAGACTTCTACAGACAACTCTATGAAACAAGTGAATCCGATGAAAGACGCCCCTTACCAAAGATAGAGAATCAAGGCTCAAAATTAATGCCGAACATAACTGTTGACGAAATTAAAAATGCACTTCGGGTGATGAAGAACAATAAATCCCCCGGTGAAGACAGGGTAACGACCGAAAGCCTAAAACTAGGAGGAAATAAGCTATTACTGACACTTGCTAAACTTGCTAAACTGTTCAATAAATGTCTGTGCGAAGCGATAACACCGACGCAGTGGAACAACGCGGAAATCATCTTACTTCATAAGAAGGGAGCTATCAGCGACCTTAGAAACTACCGCCCCATTAACTTGTTTTCACAAGTATATAAGCTATTTACAAGAGTTATTACCAACAGGCTAGGAAGTAAGTTGGATTTCTATCAGCCAAGAGAGCAAGCAGGTTTTAGAGCGGGATATGGCACGAATGATCATTTACAAGTAATTAAGAACTTAAGCTTTCGACACAATAAGTCATCAAAAGATGTTAAAAGCCTTAACAGAGTGCCGTATAGATCATCGCTATATAAACATGATAAAATACATCTATCAAAATGGGACAGCAAGCGTGAAACTGGCAGATAAAAAGACCAACGTATTTAAAATAAAACGGGGAGTGCGACAGGGAGACACAATTTTGCCAAAATTGTTTACAACATTATTAGAGCATATGTTTAAGAACGCAAATCTGAGTGAAAAAGGAATTAATGTCAATGGAGAAATGCTTAGTCACTTGAGGTTTGCTGACGATATTGTCCTTTTTGCTGACAGAATCGACGATGCAGTATCGCAACTGTAGAAACTATACCTAGCCTCCCTACAAGTTGGATTAAAAATTAACCACACAAAAACACAAATCATGACAAATCTTGTGTTAAGCGAAAAGATTTCAGTAAATGGCATGCATATAGAAGAAACCACCTTTTATACGTACTTAGGACATGAGATACGCATAGGAAGAGATAATCAAACGTGCGAACTAAGCCGCCGCATAGGACTCACTTGGGTGGCATTCGGCAAGCTAAGCTATGTTCTTAAATCAGAACTGACAATGTATCTTAAAAGAAAAGTCTTTAATCAGTGCGTGTTGCCAGTACTTACATATGGTGCAGAGACATTAACACTAACCAAGAAAGTAAGAAATAAAATTTGTGTTACCCAAAGAGCCATGGAACGATCGATGTTAGGCATTTCTCGCAGGGATCGGATCACGAACAAGGAAATAAGGCGGAGAACAGGAGTGACAGATGCCATAGAAAGAATTATGACCCTTAAGTGGAACTGGGCGGGGCACATAGCTAGAATGTCGGATAACAGATGGACACAGCGAATAATACAGTGGAGACCGAGACAAGAAGCACATCGTAGTAGAGGTCGTCCACCAACAAGATGGTCTGATGACATAAAACGGATCGACAAAAATTGGATGCAAACAGCACAAAACAGAAATACATGGAAAAGACTGAAGGAGACCTATATCCAGCAGTGGATAGATCCAGGTTAAATGATGATGATGATACGCAGATGACATCGACATTGTGGGAAACACAGTGACCAATGTGAAGGAGACTTTTAATAAATCAAAGGTAGAGGCAAGGGAAAACGAAGAGAAAACCAAATATATGTGCATCAACAGACAAAAGGAACGAGATAGAATAGGGCAAAATGTTACAACAGACCCATATTACTTTGAAAGAGTGGAGAGTTTTAAATATCTCGGAGCAACAATCACTGCAGATAACGATATCGCGGAAGAGATTTAAGAAAGAATCCAGGCAGCAAACAGATGTATGTACACCCTCCATAATACTATTAAATCTAAAAGTCTAACACGAACATCAAATATTAGAATATATAAAACGGTGATTAGACCGGTGCTCATGTATGACTTTGAGACGTGGACCCTGACTAAAGAAACTAAAAGAAAACTTTTAGATATTTTGAGAGGAGAATCCTCAGAAGAATCTTTGGGCCTTATCACGACATTAATAGCAACCAATACCGAATGAGAACAAATGCTGAGGTGATGCTGATGAACTTAGATGTTTTGAGAGGAGAATCCTCAGAAGAATCTTTGGGCCTTATCACGACATTAATAGCAACCAATACCGAATGAGAACAAATGCTGAGGTCAAGCAGATGTATAGAGCGAGCGACATATTTCAAGAGATTAAATCCCAACGTCTAAGATGTTCATAGACTCCCTAATAACTGCCTTGCCAAGTTAATATGGGAGAAAGCCCCCACATGAAGAAGGTCCTTAGGACGTCCACGAATGCGATGGAGAGACAATATATGGTCATATCTAATAACAATGGGGCTACCCACTGACTCAACTATTATGGACGACCGGTCAAGATGGAAGCAAGTTGTGCAGTCAGTCAAGACCTACCCTGGATTGTAGTGCTACGAGAAGAAGAAGAATGTATTTCAAGTCAAAGGTAGAAGTGCGTTGCAGCTGACCACAGATCGTTATAAAATTATTTAGATCTGAACATACTGGATGTTAAATGACAAGTAGTTCTGGTCAGGGAAATTTGGTAGCAGGCAGTAATTAAGTAGTCTTGTAAGAGTTGTAGTGTCAGGTAAGAAAATTAGCTACTCAGTAAATAAAAACTTACCTTTATGTTCATAAACGTTGCTATCACAAAGAATAATATTCCCTGGCAAATTCTGTTGGACGTTCGGATATGTGGGGTAAAACCCTTCGCTCTTTGTTAGCTTCAAATTGTTCTTAGCTTCGTTTAGTTTGTTCACAGCTGGTGGCGGTATCTCGATAGTTTCAAAATACTTCAGTTTCAAATCTCCCATTGATCTTCGATTTGATCCATCGTGAGACGACGAGTATACCGAAAGGTCTTCCTGGCCTTCAGGCACTCCTCGTTCAGCCAACGGAACTGACGTAGAAAAGTTAAGAATGTTTTTCAAGCTGCCGAAAATATTTGTATCTAGAAGATTTGTCTCTGATCGCTTTTTCTTTATTGTGAATTCTTCCTGAACGATGTTGGTATCGATATATTTCTTAGGATGCTTGGATTTTTTCAAACAACTGGATTTTGGTTTTGATTTCAAGCTCGGCTCTTTCTTAACGAACGTTTCGTCTGAATCTTCTTCATCGATTGAGCTGGAGCTGCCGGTGGAACTAGAAGATGTAGAAGAGTGTTTCTGGTGGTTTATGTAAATATCTGATTTTACTTCACGGTCTGACGTTGACTTTTCATAGTAAGGAGCGTCTCCTTCAGCTGCCCAACTATATCGTCCTGTAAAAAACACAGATATTACATGTTATAGTCAAAAGAAAGTTTATTACAATGAAAAAGTCGATCACAACGTTTTGAGAAAGCTATTTTTTTTTAATTCTCTACTGAACAAAAATACTGGGTACTTCAATTATTTCAAAGCATATTTATTAACAGACAATTTAATAGTTTTTTATTGACTTTCTTCAATGAATACACGCCCTAACATATGTGCTACCAATTATCAATCAGATACTATGCATAGTTTTCACAAATTTTCTGTTTGTCCATTCAACTTGACTAAAAATCTTTAAACGTAAGTATATTAAATATACTATGTAATATAACTATACAGTGGTGAGTGCTTTATCGCCCGGCTTTTTAACGTAAGAGATAGAAAACACAGTTACCTTGTGAAATAAAAAGAGATGAAACTCGTAAAGGTGGGAAATAATCGATAGAAACCTATAATTTACATTACATTACATTACCACCGTCGATAGTCTCACACCTTTAGACGTTATTATAGTATTAGAAGTGTTTAACGTCGCTTTAAAATCCGGCAAAATAGCGGAAAGGATAGAAGATGGATTTTGTGAGAAAGAATGAGATATAGCTAGTTCTTAGACGTGGCTATTTGACTTCAGTCATAATTATACAGATGACCGCGAAAATATTTTATTTTCATAATTTCTGATGTAAGAATAAATGATTAAATAAATTAGAATTAAAGTAAAAAACATTAATTAGTAGCGATTTTAAATTATAAATCTTTAAGTTTATTCAATAATAAAAATAAATCAACTGAAATATTTGACTAAACTAAAGGTAGGTATGTTCTATTCGAAAATATTAATTGTATGTGGAGTTGGTGTAATTATTAGACACGTGGTCTATTGACAAGAAGATTGGGGTTCAATTCCCACCAAGGATAAAATTTTTGTTTTACTCAATCAAAAAATAATAGAAAATATTATACATATTAGGTAACAAGTTTTCAAAAACTCATTATTTACAATTTATTCTTATTCCAATGTTATAAAACGGAAATACAAAATAATTCAAATTCAAAAAGATATTTATGTGTAACTTTAAACACTTCTAATACTAGTAACGACTGACATAAATGTTTAGTGATTCAAATTAAAACGATCTCTGCATAATTTCAAATTATTAAAAAAAAAAAAAGAAAACCACATACGGGTTTTGAACTCTAATCGTCTGCGTCGCAGTGTCGAATTCTTACCACTAATCCACAAAGGACTGATGTTTATTTCCGTGACAAGAGTGTATGAAATTCCTCAAATCATAGAAATTATTTTTGGTTATTAATTTAAAACTTTAGATTAAATATTCACTAATAATTAATTTATTGTATTCACATTTTTGCTTTTAATTGTGGTCAATCATTTTTTACTTTATGCAAATTTAAAAAAATGTCACCGAAATACGTTACACATACGACGTCACAAATAATAATTATGACCGAGGTGATTTAGCTGAACTAACGTCTAAAGGTGTGAGAGTATCGATAGTGTTAATGCAATGTAATGTAAATTATAGGTTTCTATCGATTATTTCCCACCTCTACGAGTTTCATCTCTTATTATTTCACAAGGTAACTGTGTTTTCTATCTCTTACGTTAAAAAGCCGGTTGATAAAGCACTCACCACTGTATAATATTAATAAAACCTGACCAGAAAATGCTTACCAAAGAGAAACAGAAAAAAGGACGAGAATGGATAACAGAAAAAATTTTAGGTCTCATGGAAGAGCGAAGACAGTTAAAGGGAAAATGCAGCCAAAAATATAATGAAGTAAACAAACAAATCAGAAAAGAAATAAGAACTGCAAAGGAAAATGTTTATACAAGAAAATGCGAGGAAATCGAAGAACTACATCTCAAACATGACACTTTTAACTTACATAAAAAGATAAAGGAACTGACAGGTACACAAAAACGAAAACATCCCAATCTCCTATGCAACGCAAATGGTGAAATAATAGCCGATCTACAAGAAAAGCTTAGGACCTGGAAGAACTATGTAGAAGAATTGTTCGACGATGAAAGACAAGAACCTAATATAGATAACTTGCAAGGCGACGAAGGACCAGAAATAACTAAAGAAGAACTATTATACGCTATAAAAATAATGGTAAATCACCGGGTCCAGACGGGCTCACATCAGAACTTCTTAAGCTTGTGGAAGGCGACTCAGTGAATATTCTACTCGACCTTTTTAACTGCATCTACAAAAGGGGAGAAATACCAAAGGAATGGCTACTTTCAACTTTTGTAACCTTACCAAAAAAGGCAAATGCAAAACAGTGCACTGACTACCGCACTATAAGCTTAATGGGGCATACATTAAAAGTATTCATCAAAGTAATCCACTCAAGAATTAACAGAAAACTAGATGTAGATATTAGTAATACTCAATTCGGATTTCGGATCGGGCTTGGAACAAGAGAAGCACTATTTGCACTTAACGTCATATGCCAAAGATGTCTAGATATAAACCAAGATATATATATATATATATATATATATATATATATATATATATATGTGTGTGTGCTTTATTGATTACAACAAAGCGTTTGATAAAGTTCGTCACGATCACTTAATGAAACTGCTAGTAGAAAAAAACTTGGATAAAAGGGACATTAGAATTATCTCTAAGATTTACTATAACCAGAAAGCAAATATCGGTGCAGATATAGCAGATATGCCGATGACACGGTACTAATCGCAGAAACTTGGGAAGATCTTCAAATACTAATTAACAAAATAGTAGAATGCAGTGAAGAACACGGATTATCACTTAACATAAGCAAAACAAAAATAATGCTAATATCTAAATCACCACAAAACTTCCCTGACATAACCGTGCATGATCAAAGAATCGAACGTGTAAGAAGATATAATTACCTGGGAACTGTTATCAACGAAAATAATGATTGCTCTGAAGAAATCAGAACCAGAATAGAGAAAGCTAGAGCCACATTTACTAAATTGAAAAAGGTGTTCTGCGGAAGAGATCTAAGTCTAAAACTTCAAATTCGCCTTTTGAGATGTTACGTTATGTCAGTTCTCCTCTACGGGATGGAAACATGGACATTGAAAAAGATCGATACCAAAAAGATAGAAGCATTTGAGTTGTGGATGTATCGTAGAATATTAAGAATACCCTGGACAGAGAAAGTAACAAATGTGGAGGTTTTGCGGAGAGTGCGGAAAGAGAAAGAGCTGATACTTACTGTTAAAAAGCGCAAACTACAATAGTTGGGACATATTATGAGGGGAGATAAATACCAGTTGCTGCAATTGATTATACAGGGAAAGAGAATGGGAAAGAGATCTATAGGAAGAAGAAGGCATTCATGGTTGAAAAACTTGAGAGACTGGTACAATTGCACCAATTACCAACCGTTTAGATCTGCAGCATCAAAAATACGCATAGCTTTGATGATAGCCAAACTTCGGAACGAAGACGGCACTTGAAGAAGAAGATATTAAATATATAAAATCATTGAAGAACTAGGAATGCGGAACAACTATTAGAATGATACAATTAACACTATGAAGACCAGAAAACCTCTGATACAATTCAGCAGATGTAGTTAGCGACCCTAACTCAGTATTATGTAAAATAAGAATCATCCTGAAATATTTCATATCAAGAGAGCGAGGCCAACACAAATAAAAATCAAAGGCGAAGGACGAAATACGGAACCCACGGAATACTTATACAGAAAAAAAATATCAGAGAAGATTGCTGGAAATGAAATATTAGAAAACGATAACATAGAGGAAAGCTGGGAAAACCCAAATATACATAATTAACGCAGCAACAGAATCACAGGGGAAAGCAACGAACACTAAGATATAAAAAAGAGAACCGCATGATTGAGAGAGAAAGTGAAGACATAATGTGAAGAAAAGAAGAAAGCCTTTTTGCAATACTGAACACAACAAACACAACAGGCATACAAGCAGTATATACGAATCAGAAATGAAACAAATAATTTAGTTAGACAAATAAAAAGGGAATACTAAAAGATCTTCTCAAAACTGATGGAACACGACTTCTAACAGATGAAGAAATATAGAGAAATATACGACAAAGAAGAGGGATGAACAAACTAATAATAACGAAACACATTCAGAAGGAAACGTGGTAAAACACTATGGGATTTAGCTAGAAGTAAAGATATATGACGTTAAAGCACTGTTATATTGGATGCAGAAATATCATAAATCCATCTTCAAAACTAACGCTCATATTGGTCAAATATCGAGGTAGCCTATGTTCAGTGGCCCTAGTAGTTTTAAGGCAGAATTAGTTTAAACACGAGCACTGCCGTAATCTCATGCGATCTGCAACGCTTCACAGTTTACTGTGGACATGAAATATTAGCTTGAGGACATAGGCTTATTTGCGTTTGAACTAACTTTTGTTCGATAAAAATTATTATTTTATATGAAGCAAAGATTATTCGAGATGAACGCAAGAAGTGCAAAGATGCTTAAGTTGCTGGACATAAACAAAAACCAATGGATAGGTAAGACCAAAATTTATTGTTCGTGTTTTTATTTTTATTTATTATTTAAAAGAGTGGTCTCTTATGCACTGGCGGTGTTATTTATTAACGTGTCATGGTCAACCAAATATTCTAGTGTGTAGGCCTAAAGTTTGTTTCTCAATCAAAATGTTTAGGATGATAATAATATTTATGGTATGATAACAAAATACATTTTTGTTGTTTCAGATAATATTTCAACTTCAGCAGACATTAATGATGTTAATGGTAGTACCTCTAAAACATGACGTTAAGCTAATGAATTATGTGTAACACCACCTGTGCTACAATTGAAGAAAACTTTAACATACTTTAATTCCAGTTCATTTGATCAGACAACAAAAATATTCCAATAAATATTTTTCAGCAAACTAAAGAACACTAAAGAATCTAATCGTTTCAAGTCTAGTCTATATTGCAAATACGAATAATGTGTAAAAAATCTGTTCGACCAGTTTTGTGCAGATCTGTTATCAGATCTGCACAATATTTGCACAAATATCTGCACAAATAGCAGATCAGTTAATACAAATTTATTGGAAAACTATTTGTACATGCCATCCTCTGAGTTTGATCTTTACGCTGCTGATAATGATTCAAAAGATCCCAAATTTGTTTTGTCAGACTAGGAACCTGATCAAGAAGTCTCAGAGAGTCACAGAAAAAAAGAAAACTAATTGTCTGGAGAAGAAATGTAATAAAGGCTTCTCGAAATAGCGAAAGGAATATAAAACCTGGAAAGATAAACATAAACTACCCCATAAAATAAAAGATCCATGTAGCTGCAGAATGAAATGTAATGAGAAGCTTTCTGAAAATGAAAGACAATCATTATCTGGTCATCACTAAAATCTTGGAAACATCAACAGGGGAAAAGAAGAAAGAAAGAAAGATGGAAATACTCTATTCCATTATACTCAATGCTCTCAAAAGATATACTGTTTTACACAATTACCATCTTTAGCAAAGCAACAATGACACTGAAAAATAAACAAATTCTCTTTGACCTAATCATTTTCCAATCCAGACATAACTGACTGTTATGATATGAAAAAAGATGCATCAAAATAACATATGACTTTTAAGAATACATTAAATAAATTAAAACAATTTACTTACCCTTTATAACATCTGGCTTTCTAATAAATCCCCTCTGGAAGAAACTGAGTGATACTTCAGGCTCATGAGTAATAAATCCATGATTAATGTGAATATCATCGATTTTTGTGCTATTTAGAATATCTTCATGAAAGGAAACTCTCTTTTTAGGAGTGTCTGATTTGGATTTTTTCTTTCTTTGTCTTCTGAATACTATTTGTTCTTCACATTTATTATCAGTGATAGCTGTTTCTTCAGAAACAGTTTGTATTGGTACCAAAGGTTGCGGTTGGATGGGTTCTGCATTTAGAGTGAGTCTGAGGTTTTCGTTGACTTCTTCAGATAGACTGACATGCATGTCTGGATTGTCCACAGGTAGGTTCCTATTTTGAAGAGTATAATCCAAGAGTTCGTAGCTTGTAAGGGAAACATTCATAATATCAGTATTTTCTACATGCTTGATGGGATGTTCCATTTCAAAAACATCATCACTGTAGCTCTGTTCTAACCTAGGACTGGGACCTTGTTCGAATTTCTTATCATCAAAATATGTTGGAACTGAAGATGACATTTTCTTGTATTCTTCATATACATTTTGATTTATAATATCACTTTTGGTCATTAATTTAACCTCTTCCACAAAAGGCTTTTCAACATCATGTTTTTCATCAAGCTGCAATTTTTTATCAATCTCCACAGAATCACAATCACATTCTTTATCTATTTTATTGGTATCAACTGGTACATTTTCTATATCACAAGCATATCCGCTCACTGACATAACAGATGTGACTTCACTTTCGCTATCCAGCAACTGCACACCTGAATCTACAGGTGAAGAGAGGCTGGATACTGTGCTAGACGTCATTTGTGCATCTTGAGTATCATGTAATTTCTTTGGGAAATCATCAATATGGGGTTTGATGTCCACTGGTTGTATGGACAGATCCATCCTATAAAACAATAAAAAAAATTGTAACAAAGGCATTGTCAAATCAATTAGGAACTGATCATTCTATTATAACCTTTTTATATGCAATTTCAACTTCAGTAAACTGATGCAATAGACTACAGTAACAAAGGACTTGACAGAATTCTTAAATGTAACACAAGGCCTTTATCAAATGTCTTAACACCTAGCCGAAGTTTCAAGATAATATGTCCTATCTATCCAGATTTATATGTAGCTTTGGTGACCTTTGTGTGAAATATTCAAACAGAAAGATGAATGTAAGCAATCAGGTAACATCTGCCTGACTGCTTACATTCTTGCAGAAACAGGATTCTGGAAATCAAATCAAGATTATGAAGAAAACACTGCATTGCAACATGGAATGTTCAAGGACTACTGGAGCCAGCCAAAGTATATGTTGATATACAGCCAAAGTATATGTTGATATACACCACACTACATATATTATTAAATAAAATTAAAAAAAATGGTTTCCTCATATATAAAGCATTGATGCACATTTCTTGATGCACTTAAAAAATGACACATGCTGAATATTAAATTATTTCAGTAATTATTTAAAAATGATTAAATGATTATGTGAAAGTTGTATAATTTCTAGAAACTGAATGAATATTTTTTTATAATTTTAATAAACCTGTATTTATATCAATACAAGGATTTCAACCCAGAGACAAATTCTCGAGAAAACACTGGAATACAGTGTAGACACGCACCACATATTTATAGACTACAAGGCAGCCTACGACTCTTTAAATAGAAGAGAATTGTTTAGAGCAATGATAGACCTGGGAGTACCAAATCAGTTGGTAAGTCTAACCAAACTAACCCTTGAAAAAGTTGAATGCAGAGTATGAATTCAGGGGGAACTCTCTGAACCTTTTAAGACAAATAACGGGCTACGTCAGGGAGACCCACTCTCCTGTATACTATTCAAACTAGCTCTGGAAAAAGTAATACGTACGTCACAAATCACAACTACCGGTTCAATATATAACAAATCTATGCAAATCCTAGCATATGCTGATGATATCAATATTGTTGGGAGAACGGAAAACGCAACACGAGAGGCGTATGTAGTCCTAAAGAAAGCGGCTACAAAAATGGGTTTAATAATAAACATTAATAAAACGAAATACATAAAAATAGGTCCGCAACCACAAATACGACGGCCACTTGTTATAGAAAACAACGTCATCGAAGCAGTTAACGAATTTGTATACCTGGGAACGTTCGTCAATACTGAAAATGACACTACCGCAGAGATAAACCGCAGAATTTGCACAGCTAATAGTTGCTATTTTGGGCTTAATCTCCTTTTTAAATTTACAGTTATATCAAGAAATACAAAAGTAAAACTCTACAAAACAATAATACACCCAGTCCTAACAAATGGTTCAAAAACCTGGACTTTAACAAAAAGCAATGAAAACATGTTAGGATATTTCGAAAGAAAAATACTGAGGTGAATCTATGGAGCGGTAAATGAAAATGGTGTCTGGAGAAGACGATACAACTTCGAACTCTATAGAATATACCAGGAACCAGATATCGTAAAACACATTAAGATAGGATGCCTGAGGTGGGTAGGCCATGTAATGTGGATGGAGCAAACCGAACCAGCTAGAAAAACGCTCCTTAATAGACCTAGACCCAGAACAAGATTCCTAGATAACATAGACCAAGATATGAGAAATATGGAAATACATGCTTGGCGGAGGAAGGCGATGGATAGACATGACTGGAAGAGAATTCTTGGGGAGATTAGGACCCACACAGGGTTGTAAAGCCAAAATAATAAATAAATAAATAAATAATTTTTTTGCCTTAAAAATACTTAAAAAACTGAATATTGTTTTATAATTTTAATAAACTTGTATTTATGTCAATACAAGCATTACATTTGTTTGTAACAGTTTTCTTTATAGAAACTCTCTAATTCTCCATATTTCCTCGTTTAAATTGTTTAGTTACTAAATTTTTTCTTCATTTAGTTCATTATCCCAATCAAATATTTGATCAATAAATGTTCTGATTGTTGTAGCTTTCTCCATCCACAGTACATACCATATATATCTATTTATCTCAGCTAAAGGCTATAAACTTTTATACAATTTACAATTCAAAGTGGTAACACATGTGCTACAGCCACATCTACTATATTCCACCAAATATGCATTCCTCTTAAAGGTTTTTACTGAATACAGGTCTCATAGGCAAACTGCAGATTTATCATTCTCTTTGCTTCCACACTCCTTTCTTATTAGGAGTGATCCCTGCAGAATGTTTAGAGGTATATGCTTTCATCATATGCTACCTTAAGAACAATTAATACCATATGCAATATATGCATATGTTTGCTGTATTTGTCCATCAGTTATCTCATAATCAAAAATGTATTGTTGTTGATCTACATCAGGAGTGCTCAGACTTGTAGTATCTGCGATCTATCACAAAACATTTTAAAGGCAAGCGATCGACTAGATACTAAAATATGTAGATTTCTGACAATGTTTATAAATACAAAATATAATTAACGTATCTAACCAGGGATCTAATACTAATAATTGTAAAGTAATAATTTTCTTCAATCACTAATTTGCTTTCGATATAGATACATGGGACTGCCTCCATCACCGCAGCTTGTTATACAAGAAACAGTCGCTCGAGGACAATCTGTAACATTCGCCAAACATTGCGCGGGTACAATGTCTCAGAAGCCTGGAATATTTAGATGAGGACCTGAATAATTCTAAATTCTTTGGCGATTGACTGATCTACACTGTATAAATCCAAAGTGATTTTTAGATATTTAGCTTTCTTTTTAATATATATTATATCCATCCATAATATATTGAAATATCCATATATTATATACACTCCCCCATATTTTCATGATGTGAGTAAGTAAATAACTATTTAAATGGGAATGAGCCACAATTAAAGGTTAAAGTATGTTCATTGACATTTCAATTTCCACTTTGGAAATAGTTCTCAAAAAAATAGAAAATAGTTTCAGAACAATATGTGAGTAAGTAGTTTTATGGCAATGTAGTTTTGTAGGTCTTCGTTAGGTACCATCTCCTCTAAGGAGGTTAATTAGCATCACACCTATTTTCACTTTGGAGATTGCAGCTCTGAACAAGTCAACGGAACTGCAATTATACCACTTTCTCAGATTGTTGAGCCAGGAGATGTGTCTTCTTCCAATACTTCGTTTTCCCTGTATTTTTTTTTTGTTTTTTTGTAGTAGTTTTGTACAGCGCTGCAAAAAAATGTCTCCTTTGTTTTTATAAACAGACATTAATATACTGATTCTCCATTTATCTAGTATTTGCCTTATGTTCATAATTATATTAAATAAACCAGCTAACCATCTATCTATCTCCCCTAAAGTCTTACTTTCTCAGAAATATGATCTGGTCCAACTACTTGAACTTTCTTTATTTTTTTAGGGGCCACTTCTGTTACTATTTCCATTGCTCAACTGTTATTGCTTTAACTCATTGCTTATTAAATTCTGACCAATTATTCATTCATTAAACTGTCAAAGTACTTTTTCCATCCCTTTATGATATCCTTTTAGTGAATTAATATTTTATTATTTTCATCTCCAATACATATAATCTTAAATTAAATCTCTTGCTTTTGCTGTATGTTTGGCTATTTCATAAATATTTGCTTCACTCTCTATAGTATCAAGGCTTATAAGGATATATAAGCTGTTTACAGCACTATTGCCACAAGACGAATGAGTTTTTAATAATGTTTTCAAATAATGACCAGCAAGTTCTCTCTTATTCTTCAAATATTTGTACAGAATTTGTAGATCACATTACAGAAATTTTGTCAATTTTTTATAAGAAATATTTTATTTCAAATACTTTTATCCTGAAATAATCAGGAATTATTAAAAATTTATAAAATGTGTATGGACACTTTACAATGATTTATTCCTATCTCCCTGTTAATCTGCCTTTAATGCCAAATGAAATTGACAAAAAAGAGAAGTATGCTTTCCCTTAAACAAGTAAGAATATTCTTTAAATCAGAGTCATTGTCAAAGATAATCTAAAGATAATGTATTGGAATACAATATGTTAATTCATTATTAGCATATCAGAGCATTTTATGTCTTTATTAGAGTAGAACATCATCATCATCATCCAGCCTCTATTTATCACGTCCACTGCTGGACATAGGCCTCCCTTAAACTCCTCCATTCCTCACGATTTTGTGCTCTTTGTTGCCAATTTTTAGTGATACACCTGATGTCATCGGCCCAACATGTAGGTGGTCTTCCTCTACTGCGTTTGTCTGCTCTTGGCCTCCAATTTGTAATTTTGCTCGTCCATGTAGCGAGAATGCACGATTCACGATGGACGAGCAAAAATTAGAGTAGAACATTGAATAAAAATTAATGGAACTTGTTCTTGAAACTTAATGGAACTTGAAAAATGTTCACATTAGCTTATCTCTCATAGGAACTAAGACTTTGTGGCACTACTAGATGTGTTGCTTTATTTTCAATAAGCAGTAAATTTACCATGACAATTTCTTGAATTTATAAATCACGCCCCTTACGATATCATTTAATCAGGATGTACTATATTATTACTTACTTAACATAGAGCATTGAGTACCATTTTTAGTATTTCGAACTGTTTTTATGACCTTGACATTTAGCAGTTTTGTGAAACAAAATCCAAAAATTTAGTAGACCAGCTAGTTGAAAAGTTTACAGTATATAGTAAATCCTGAAATACTTCTAACTGAAAGTATTTAATCAAAATGATCCCAAAAATTTTCAAAATATAAGTATATACATGGTTTAAATTTTTGTTAAGAAAAGATAGGTGCTGTGAGGATGAAATATGAAAATAAATGACAGAAAAATAACAGATGTCTTAAAAAACAAAGAATTTGATTCTGTATATTGATTGAAGAGAATGTAATATACATTTTATTTATTATTTTGTAACATAAAATGTATTTTTTACTTAGTTATCTTATTTTTTGAATTTTAACTTAAAAAATTCATATTTTTAACCAAAATGTTCATTATCCCTCCATTCTCATTTATTTTGAATCTACTATAGTTGCAAGTACATTAAAAAAGAGAATAACCTCTTTTACATTATTCACAATTATGTTACATGTCCTCACCAAAGTTAAGCTCCCAAAAATGATTTTTTATTTAAATAAAATTTGGTCCCCTATAGCTAATTTTTTACTTGTTTTAAAAAAGGAAAATGTTAAACTAGATAGGCAGAATCCACTAAACTAACTAGCAAAATAAAAACAATTAACAGAAACCTTGGTAAGAAATTGTTTGTTTTAAGAAATTTCTCCTAAACAATAGGTACAGCTAATAACAAACAAATTAACTGTTTTGGTGGTTTAAGATGTCCTTGAGATAGAAAAGATTTTAAAATAAGAAATGATTACTCGTAAAATAATTTTTCAGAAAACAATAAAGTTCACTATTCGTAATTCCGTCCTAATGTGAGAACTAAATTTTATATGAAGTATTGTAAAAAACATTTGGTAAATATTTGTATGCATGCAATTTCTAATTCTTCAAAATTTCAAAATAAAACAATCAGAACAACACTAGGAACTTGCATTAACGAAATTTAGGTTGATACCTACAATTATTGCACACAGAACTTAATTTTAAGCCCCAAAGACAAATTTATACTTACTTGAAATCCCAGTAAATTTATTTCTTCTTTACATTAGGAAGTGTTGAGACGTAATTATTGCACTTGCACTAGAAAAACGTCACCGCTGCCGAATTTTTCTACAATGTACAAAGCACAGAGATCAATTTGGGCATGCGTTTAGTTTGTTTTGCGTTGTTCATTCTCTCATTGATTTTCTGTAACAATTTTCCTCCTACAACCTCTAGCCTTTCAAAATTCTGACACGGAACAACGGTTTCGGTTTCGATCAACCACCGACTGTCACTGTCGTTTGTCATGTCACTTAAATTTTTTGTTCTGTTCATATTTTTTCTTTCTGTATAAATTGATAATTTTGACTAAAGGCGGAGTCCCAAACGCTTACGGCCAAAGGAAGCTAAATACCTCCCAGAATTCGTTAATTAAAGCCAAAAATCAAGATCAAAATGCAGGTATCTTGAATTTCACAACCTGACGTTTGTCAAAAATACCAAAAGGTTTTTTTTTTATTTTTTGTTTTTTATGATTAGTAATCCCAAATTGTAAAGGTGGCTACACATATGCTCCGAATACCGTCTCGGACCCCGTCGCGTACAGCGACGCGATCAACAGAAGTTCGCGACGTTGTTACAGGGTGCATTGAAATAAGTAACGAACCGAACATCGCTCCGTACTTTGTACCAAACGTTTAAGCGTTCCAGCAGTAATTGAGTTGAATTCGCATGTGCAAGATGGAACTTACTGCAGCTGCCTACATTTTTATGTATTATTCAGTTAATTAAACGAAAAATATTCGTGAAAGAAGATGGTGGCAAACACAAATATATAAAAGTAGGGAGAAATATGGTGGCAATCACTTACTCTTGGATTTAAAATTTCAGTCGATCAGAGGGGTTCTATAAAAATTTCACAAGGATATCTTTAAAAATTCATAAACCACTCACCTGTTCCCGTGCTTTTACTTTTTTTTTTTTATTTTTTCTTTTTCTCTCCGTAATCCAGATAAAAAATTTGTCATTTTTTTACACACAAAAAATATATGAAAAACTGAACTTGATTTTAATATAAAATTGGAAAATGTAACGTAGTAATTACTATTTAAATGGGAATAAGCCACAATTACAGGATAAAGTAAGTTTATTAACGTTTCTATATCGAAATTGAAAAGTCAATAAACTTACTTTAACCTGTAATTGTGGTGTATTCCCATTTAAATAGTAATTACTTTAAAGTGTCACAAGAAAATAGCTTCAAAACAAATGTAACGTAGGTTCCATACATTTGACAATAATCACATCATGAAGCAAATACATAAAATAGGAAACTGTATAAAGAATTAAAATAAGAAATCAAACAAGTATAACTATTTATTATTTGGTAAATACTTCAAATACATTTTGTGTTTATAATGAAGTTGGTTTATATTGCAAAATAAGAGATAGATACGCAGCAACTGATCCAAGAATCTCCAACAAAATACTTTTTTTAACCGGTACAGCCACTGCGAAAACATATTTTTTATTGCTGGTTACGTAGTTTGCCAAAAGTAGGAGATTATATCTTTGCATTTTATTTAATACTTGAGGCGAATTGATGAGAATTCTGTAACATATATCAGACGTCTTGTGAGCTTCGTTTGACGTTTGGTCGCAAGATAAAGAGATTATAACACCGCAACCCTAAAGATAAAAAACAAGTTTTATGTTAAATTACGAAATAACGTTAAATAATTTTTTTTTAATAATTTTTATCTATGGCTATGAAAGGTATACTCGTAGTTTGCAATAATGACGGTGGCTTACTGTACCATATTCGTCATTCAACTTCAATAACAACATTTTTTAACATTATATATATATATATATATATATATATATATATATATATATATATATATATATATATATATATATATATATATATATATATATATATATATATATATATATATATATATATACAGGGCCGAGTCGTGTCGGGATGCAAGGATCCCGACACGACATAAAATCAATACGCCAAGCAAGCAAAGTGCAAAAAAAACTGGCCAAATAGTTGCTATTAAGAAAATAGCATGACCTTTCCCTGTGATGTACAGGGTGTTTTAAAAAGGTATGTCATAAATTAAATTACGTATTCCGGGGACAAAAATAAATTGATTGAATCCAACTTACCTTAGTACAAAAGTGTACACAAAAAAAGTTACAGCCCTTTAAAGTTACAAAATAAAAATTGTTTTTTTGCATTATATCCTAAACTACTTGATATTTTGTAATAAAAATGGACACGTCACATTCTTGTTCTGAAAGCATTTTTCATACAAAAGAAACAAGGTGTCAGGGATGAAACTCGTACAACAGTTTATCAATTTTTCTGTGACAACATCATACCACCAACAATAAACACCATATTAGCTGTTGTAAATGTCGAAGAAACTTTGCCCAACTTTTCACGGCCCACGCTACATCGCTTGCTTAGTATATGGATTTTGTGATTATAAAACGTGGCAGAAATTCAATTTTGATTGAAAAACCAGAAATTATCTCGTGGTGTCATCGTTATTTACGCACAAGTCGTAATTACCATGCAGATGTATACAACATAGTGTATTTGGATGAATCATGGGTAAATATCGGGCACAGTATAAAAAAAGAATGGGTTGATAAAATAATTACATCTCCTCGCGATGCTTTTGTTCGTGATCTAAAAACAGGATTAAAAGCTCCAACAGCTCGTGGTGCACATCTATAAACAAATGGGTTATATCGGTAGCACATACTGTAGAATTAAAACAAACTACTTGTGTGCCATAAATAAAAGGCATTTCTTAATTTCTATTTTATTTTAATTTAATCAAATATGTTGTATCAAATATTATTTATGTTTGAGAACCACTGACCGAAGGAAGCCAGGCATGGTCGTTACTGTGCATTAGAACTTAAACTACCCTCAACACAAAAGATGGATTAGGCTAAGTAGTAAGAAGTAACATTTATTTTAATACAAGTTTGCAAAGAAGGATGGAATCGATGTTGTGCACTTACTCTGTATAGACTAGTCACTTTGAGACAATCTATAGTAGACAACATTTCATAATGCACATGGGATGGTTAGTGCAGTAGTTGCCCATTGCTTTTGCACCGCATTTTTATAGCCAGTTAAATCGATACTTGATTACCGCCTATAAATGTGTGATTTCAAACCTGTGAGGAATTCTTTTTCTCCAGCCTTGAATCATTAATGACATAGGAGCTGCTCTATACCATATCCTCAGTTCAGCGGCGGGTGTTTATTTGGCAAGACCTTATTTACACCAATGCTACATATCTGTAAGACATTTTCTTCTTCTTCGGATTACAGACAAGCCAAACTTAATTAAGAACTCAGAACTCCTCCCCCACTCAAGTTTGTAAGGACACTTTTCCATCTTGCGTGAAGGAGAAGTATAATATGTCACGTAAGTTTTAAAAAGTCTTACCATAAAAACTGCCATTTGAAAAGTACAAGATAAAACTACCATAGGTAAAATCTCATTATCCATTCCATTCAGGAGTAATTTAACAGGAATAAAGACTCCATGAATCAACACCAAAATAATTTTTCCAAATATCATAAGAAGCGGCCATCCATATATGTCGGTTACAATATTAATACAGTTCACGATTTCTTCGTAACGCTTTTGTATATATAATATGTCATTCAAAGTTAAATTTTCTTTAAACGCTTGTTGTAAATCGTCATTGATAACTTTCAGTAAGGTTTTTAAACTTTTCACAATGAGACATATTTGTATGACTGTGATAGAAACCACGACAGTGTTAATGTAGAACGACAAAAAGAACTGCAACATTTTCTGTGGTATTGCCACTATGTGGCAGTCGAACGTATCAAGAAGTATTATATAGGTTAAGAAACCTATCACCCAATACACTGTATTTTTGTTTTCAGGAATACGATTTCGGGAGATTGTTCCATATTTATCTGAAACAGAAATTACTATTGTCCTTATAAATATTACTTAAAGTAAAAGAATAATAATTATTAAATGAAAAATAAAACAGCCAAGTAAAAGGTGTATAAACTTTTTCCACTAATGGATTTTTTCGAAGAAAATGGTTTGATATCATTGATTGTATCATCTTTCATGTGGGAACCAACGTTCTTGTGCGTTTTCATTCATTTCAAGTATAAAACATCTATCTGGTCTTCCTTCTGAGTGTCACTAAGCGGGTATTAAATATTATTGACCCATTTGTTTAATACTTATCCTTTGTTACTAATTATTAAATAATATTTATCTTCATAGGCTATTATCCTGGGTTTGAGCTGTTTCTACAACTACTTATTTTTTGTTGGTAGAATTTTTGTGGGTGATTTATATTGTGGTGGTTAACTATATTAATTATCATGACTATTGGATCGTTTTTATATTGCTGTCTCTTCTTCCTTCTGAAAAAGTTTTATCTGTTCACCGAATATCGTTCGACCGAACAAAAGATATTTATTCTCTTTCATAGTTGTTAGTTTCTTAATATTTCGAATATTATTAAACTCTATAACAGGCTTTTTATTATGTTTTATTTTAAGATACATTAAATACACACTTGTTAATATGACCATGGCATGGCGATAATAATGATCGTCTCTACACCTTAGGTAACCAATAATGCCCACCTTAGCAGTCCGGGTTGCTTAACAATACCTACAGCCTCTTATTTGCTTAATTTTTCTGCTGATTTATGACTCTACTCTCTTCGTCAAACAAAATTTTATTTCTTCTGGCGCGTGACTTGGTTCTTTGCATTAAGTTACTCACAGATCTAGTGTTCTTTTATGCTTAGGTTTTCATCGATTCTTGGTAGCTTTTTGTTTTAAATTTGCATGTATTTATCTCCAAAGGGGCATTTAAATCAAAGCGAACACCAACGAACGAAATAATTCGTTCGTTAAAATTATTGTATTCAATGGTGGAACAGACATGTTCCAACCGATGTCCATAAATTAGCGAATCATAAAAAAATCCGTGTACAGTGTGAATAATGGATATAATGTAGCGAACGAATTCGTTGGGAAGTACTGTTTTATTATTAATTTATTTAATATTACAAATTTTAAGATGCTGTTTGGTATTCTGAGGATTTGTACACATTCTCTGATTATTTTTTTTTTTCGAAAAGTCCTGCAATTACTGCAAAACTAGTAGCACTAATGATTACATCTCCATCTATAGACCGCT